TTTAGCTTTTAATGCTTTAATTGGACTATTTAATCCATTTAAACGATAAATTCCTTCTTCCAACGCAGCATTATGAACATCCAAAAACTCAATACAGCGGTAAACAACCGCGGGAAGTTCATATCCTTCTTTTATTCTCGCGACAGCAATTGCTTGATCAAGAGGTACTCCAAAGACAGTCTTGGAAGTATCAACTTCTTTCTTCGGATTGCCAAACATTGATTTACCAAAGAACGTCATCCTAACACGTGACCGATCTTTCTTTTCTCCTTCTTCATTGCGTCTTGGCGGTGGAACGCTATCACGGAAGCTAGGTAAGTATGACGAAGATTGACCGCTGGTTCCAGACTGAAAATCTTGAAGCGATTGATTTGAACTCGAATATAATGAAGAGAGTATTGATTGTGTAGGAGGAGATGTGGATAATATGGATTGTTGTGTTAGAGAAGATGAAGGTGTCGAGGAAGCCGACGATTGCGTTTCAACCACTATAGGGGATTCGTTACGTGGCATTTCACTTTGGGAGAAGGGAATAAAGGAATGGTCTGCGTTTTTTTTACTTATTCAACACTGTACCTTTGTAGATCTTTTAGATAGACGAGACCGTGTGAATGAACTTGGTCGTTTGGTTTCCGCTCTACCTCTATCCAACTATACGCTCCTCCGAACGCTGATCGGTCATTTAATTCGCGTTGTACAACATTCTCATACAAACAAAATGACTTTACGTAATATTGGAATAGTATTCTCTCCGACTCTTGGCATACCTGCAGGAGTATTTAATCTGTTTATGGCAGAATATGATTATATCTTTTTCACGGATGCTGAGGGCTGTGCAGCTCCAAGGAGTATTTCACCAGATTTACAGGATGCGCAGCAATTGCCTCCTCAGCAACCGCAATCAGAAACATCTTTGTCTTCTAATAGCTCTTCCGACGGCGGATTAAAGCCGCGCTCTCTAAGTCCATCCAATACGGAAAACTCTAGTTTACGAGCAAACTACCTTCGCGAGGAAGCGTCCGGTCGCACTAATCGGAATAGCGTCCAATACATGGAATGTCTCCCTAACGCCCTTGCTGGACTTGAAAGAAAATTAACAATAACACGCCACGAGTCCGACGACGAGGAAGTGAACGATCTCGCTCTACAAGCTGATGATGACGAAGAAGAAGATCATTCGGCTGATGAGGGAGAACAGAGTATAGCTGGGAATCTTTCTCCGACACCACCGTCTGCGTCGGCTCCCCAGAGTCCACAATCATTCAACCCAACCGTTCCGACGTCGCCGAGGGATGAAAGTTTCGCAACAATAGAAAGTGGTGATTCTTTAGATGGAAAAGGCCGGCAGGAACATACCGGGCAAAGGTTGAGCAAGGATGATTTGGATGCGATGACAAAGACAAAAAGGACCACTGTGAGAAACTTTTCATCGCTTGATTCAGTC